AAAAAAAGAAAAAAAAAAAGAAAAAAAAGATATAATATGGTTCTTAAATTTAATAGTCTCAAAAGCTTTTATTTTTATTTTTTTTTTAAATTCTTAGTTTTTTACCTCTTAATTTTTTGAATTTGTCGTCAAATTTACAAAATAAAAATGAGTTTATAATTTTATTATTTTTAGTTTTCAAATTTTGACTTTTTGGAAAACAAATAATTTCAAGGGTTATTTGTGAAGAAAAAGAATAAAACAAGCCATTATATTTTGACATATAAAGATGGTTTGGTGATCATTTAGTTTTTTTTTAAATTAAAATTTTAAGTTAATAAACACTTTTTACAGATGTTTTTTAAAATATTTATTTTGATATTTACTTTCTACCAATCAACTCGATGTTATTTTTATTTTTATTACTATTATTATTTTTTTTTTGTACAACATTATGAATTTCTAATATGTTATAAATAAGAAACGAAATTATTATGTTGAATACCCTCATAAATTCTCTCTGGTATTTGTTTAAAAATATAAAAAAATGAAAAAAGAGGGGTAAATGTGGGGATAAGGAAGAAAAATCACCCACTTCGGACACTAAATTTGATTATCGAAAAAAACTAAAAAGTTTGGTTCTTGATTAGGTTGTTGTTGTGGGGAAGGAGAAAAAACACAATAGAACCCATTGAAAGACGAGGCGAAGATCAAAATTTGGAGGAAAATACGAAATATGTTCAAGGAAAAAAGCATCGCGAAAAGATAATTGGGTCTTCGAACCCTTTTTGCTCATCGCCGACTTCCTCACTCTTCGTCTTCCTCCCACTCACTCTGCAAACAAGATGCCCAAAACATCCCTTATGAAGATTTAGCTTGGTTCCTACCCATATTCTTCTTCAATTCTAGGGTTACACAATCGCCGCTTTCTGCCTGAAGCCCTCTTCTTTCATGTGAGTTCTTTGTTTCTCTCTTCCCTTAATCTTCTACAGTTTTGTTGTATGGACGTTTTCGTATCTGGGTCTTGATCTCTTACTCGTTTTGTGTCGGACTGTCTGTGCTGCGAGGTTCTTCAACTTCAAAGTTTGGGCCTTTCCGGTTACTTCTCCCCATGCCCCCAACGCGATCAGTTACGCGTTCTTTCTTTGTTTTCCTTTTCTTTTTCGCCAATGTATTTTTCTTCTGTTCTCGAGATTGCTTGTGCTTATGGGTATCTTTGGGAATCGATGACTTAGAATTGAGATGTTTTTTTTTTTTTTCTTTTTGCCTTCTGCTCAAGTATTTGAAACGAGAGGTTGCTTTTTGAGAAACGGAGATGATTTTTCCTTAGGATTTGATTACACTTACATAGAACCCTAGTTTAACTGGATTTTAGGCAATGTTAAGTTGATGGATTGAGTAGTTGCTGAGTTGAAGATTAACGTCTGATGCCCAAAAAGAATGCTATACTTTGGAGTTGATAGAACTTCAATACTTCATTTGATCGTTGTAAGTGGTTTTCTTGAGAAAGAAAAGGTTATTTGCGCTTATGATTTTTCCCATGGATTTAACCACGGCTCTCACATCCTCTTTACACTATTAGTTCAATTTTCGTAACTTGGAAGTCATATCTCTTCATGTGCGGATTTTAAGTTGATCTTTGGAGGAGATTGGGATAGGGAGTTCAGGCTACCACTCTAGATGCAGCCATGAAATTTTATTGGTGGGGGGGTACACATGACTTTGGCACCCTGTAGTCCTTTTTGACAAGTGAAAGTCCTCATGCTTGGTTAGTAGCTAGGTTATGGAAGGATTTATTCAATTGATAGAAATTAAAGGAAAATATCTTCCAAGCACATCTCGCAGGTGCTTACTTCATTAAAAAAAAAAAAAAAGGTGAGCTATGTGCAGATTGTTAGTGTTTAATAGTGCAACATCGGACCCTTTTTTCTTGATGTTGGCATATACAATAGAGTGGAATGCTTGTGGCTTGTTTATTTTATAGTTTTCGTTGGAATAGGTTTTCTAAGTGATGTCATTGGTATATAGAATTTGGGGGAACACTTGTTCTTTTGAAGGCTAAGGTTTGGGCGTTAAGATTTTATGTTATATTATCTGGATCTAGTAATGAAATGATCTTGGACAATTAGATAATATTTCAATTGATCATATTCTTTGGAGCTACAACTTTGCTTGGATTGTTTGGAGTCTCTATTTTGACTTTTTGATTTGTAGTTTACTACTTACGGGTATAGGGNGATGATCAGAGAGTTCCTTTTACATCCGCCATTTCGAGAGAAAAGAAAGTTTTTGTTGCAAGCGAGATGAACAATAGGACCTTTAGTGAGGTTAGGAGGGACGCATAAATGTTTGGTCCCTCATTAGGTTCTATGTTTTTCTTCGACCGTCGGTGATAAAATTTTTTTGTAACTATTCTCTAGGTCTTATTGTACTTGATTGGAGCCCCTTTCTTTGGTTGGGTTTCCTTTGGTGGAGCTTGGTTTTCTGGATGCCCTCGTACTTTTCTTTATTCATTTATTTTCTGAATGGAAGTTCAGTTCTTTAGTAAGAAAACAGATCCGTTGGATTAAATACCCCTCCACCCAAAGTCTCTATAAGAAACTGGAAGGCTCAAGTTTATCTTGCCAATCTAGGTTTTCTCGTAGAAACATTGTGAGCACGCTTCTTATTTTCTGCGACCAATCAACTGATTGACGTAGGATTGTTGTGTGGGGAGCTCAATTTATAATATCTGTGGGTGTGGATATGAAAGTCAAAGAATGGTTGTCTATTATTTCATGTGCTCTTTGGCATGTTTGTCCATTGGAATCTGCTGCAGGGTTCTATTGGCGTGCACATGTCTCGTCCCTTTTTTAGTTTTTCTTTCTTGCCTATCTTTTTTTTTTCCTTCATTTTTTTTATTTTTAATTGCAGTAAATTTTTACTACCGAAGTCTCATTAATTTAAGCATATCCTTGAAACCTACACAAAAAATGATTCATGAGCATCTTTAGCTCCACAGAATATGGTATTCTGTTTATATTTCTCTTAAAATACCGTGTGGCTGGTCTTAGTATTTAAAACACTTGCTGTTTGACTGATTTTCTGTCGTAATTTGTAAATCAGATTATTATTATCATTCATATTACTCATTAAAACTTTAGGCTGAATCTTAAAATAATTTAGTTACTGGATGTTTATTTATTAATTTACCTCTTGCTTAAGTCTTGGGTTCTTTTTCCTGCCAAAGTTAACTGTTCAGACCCCAACATGTTAGGTTCTTTGATAGATGCCCTCTTCTTTAGTTAATGTATCACGTAGAGTGTGCTAATGTCAAAATATAATTTTCTGCAGTATCTTCACGTGGTCGGTTGATGGAAAGATTAGCAATGGTGTTCAATAATAACTTATGGCAATGGCTTTCTGTTCCGCTACAAGAGCAATTGGGCATTAACACAAATTCCTGGATCTAAGTCAATCTTTAAGTTCAAGCTTGTTTTCAAGGAATTTTATGAGAAAACTATAGTTCCTCAAACTCAAGGAGAATGAATAATGTACAAAGTGCTTGTGAACTTCTATAATGTTCAGAGTTGTGGATAAATTACATGGTGAAGAGAGATGTGTGGATTGAAAATTTTACTTAGTAACTTATTAGTAGTTGAAGAGTACATATGGTTTGTTTGAAGGGTTTCCATGGGTAGTCGTTCAACTGGTCTATTTTTATGGTCGCTGTCCACTTCGAGCATTGTAAATTTACCCTTAAAGACAATGTAATTTATTCAATGTGTAACTCCCACCTTCTTTGTGACCTTTAAGTGGCTTTTTTATGGCGTGCTATGTGAGCCATCCCTTATACTAGCAGCGACTAATGTTCCATTGTGTACTATATTTCGATATTCCATGCAACCAAAGTGACAAATAAGGTGGACAAAGGGAGGGAGGGGGGGGGGGGGGGGGGGGGGGGGGGGGGGGGGGGGGGGGGGGGGGGGGGGGGGGGGGGGGGGGGGGGGGGGGGGGGGGGGGGGGGGGGGGGGGGGTGTGGTGGATTTCATATGGAAAGAAGAGTTTGGAGATACTTATTTTGCCTATTTTGTTTTGTAGAATATGCAAATGGTTATGAAGCTTCTTAGGGAAATTGAGCATTTTAATATAAGATTATCTAAAGCAAATTCAACAACAACAACAGGTGTCTTCGTAGGTCGAAGCTTGACTTTTTTTTTTTTTACATCTTATATGTTGATATAGCGAAGTGAAAAAATGTTAATGAACGAATGTCCTTCTCCTCGTGAACGAAATGAGTTAGGGAGAAAAATAATAGTAAGTATTTATGAGAGAGCTTGTAGGATGGTTCACTAATACGAGAAACGATGACAACCACTTTTGAAGCATCTCATAGAACGTCTCTAAAACTCAAATAACCCTTGAAATTCTACTTAATCGAAGTCATGAACGTGGAAAAAATATCGTTTTGTAATGATAAATGGAACACCTTACATGTTATGGTAAATTTCTAGCTTTTACCCTAAGGTTGAGCTACATGACATTGTTGGGAAAGAAATGTTGGAGGAAGATCTTGTGGATGGAGGATAATGATAGGAAATCTAAAGAGGAATCTCAATGAGGTCGAGATGATAGAATTTAGATACTTATTCTTGTTATTGAACCATGGTTCGATTTCTAATTGAAGGAAGATGGAATTGTGTGTTTGGCTAGAATTGTCAAACTAGTTCCCTTTCATGATTACTGGGCAACAAACAACTTTTATAGAGGGGCGACAAATTCTTGATTCATTCCTCATGACATATGAACTTATAGATGAATGTGAAAGAAAGAAAGAAACAAAAAGGTACAATCATTAAACTTGACATGGAAAAGGCATTTGACAAGTTCGATTGGACTTCTCTCGAAAACATTATTGTAGGATTCATTTCATCCACAAACTTCTCCATCATCATCAATAAAAGATCATGAGGAAAGATCTTTGCCACACATAGTCTTCGACAAGGGGATTCACTATCCCCTTTTCTTTTCATAATGATAATGAATTACCTCGGTCTTTTATTCACAAAGGTTGAACACGAAAGATAGATATAAGGCTTTCAGGTTGGTAATGAAAGCTTAAGCATCAACCACCTTCAGTTTGCGGATGGATTCAATCCTCTTCTCTGATTTGTCTAATGTATCTTCCATAAAAAACATGATTAAGACAATAAAATTCTTCGAAAGATTCTGTAGACAAAATATCAATCTCCAAAAAATAGAGATTATGGGCATTAATTTTAGCACAGGGATGATTGAAAGTCTTTGCAGCAAATACGGTTGTGAAAAGGGTGAATGATCGAATATGTACATAGGATTACCCCTCCCTAACTATAAATCATTTTCCTTCTAGAAGACTATTATTAAAAAAAAAAAAAATAGAAAAAAGGTTGTCAACGTTATAACTTTCAAAGGCGGAAGGCTTGCCCTAATACAAACCACACTGTCCAACTTCCCCTTTTAGCTACATTTCTCTATTCGAAATGCCACAAAAAGTGGCTACGGAAATTGAAAGACATCGCTGATAGACTCATCCTACAAAATCTTTGATGATGGACATAGGGAAAAAAAATAGAAGCAATAAATCCCACGCTAGCAAAGACAATATGGAAAGGAAATCACTCTAAAAAACTGAAGTTTTTCCTTTGAAAAATAGCGTATAAAGCCATTACCTGACTCTGTTTCCAAATTGGTGCCCATTATGTAAGAAAGACAACAATCACAAAGCCGCTTATTTATGTATTGCACATACGTTCAGTTTTGGACAAAGATTCTCAATATCTTAGGATGACATCTCACTTTTCCCAGGGAGGTAAAGGATTTATTGGGCATGACCTTAACGTACCTCCCTTTCAAGAATGCAAAAGCCCTATTATGAAAAAAAATCTCATCATTGCTTTCTTTTGGAATCTGTGAAAATAAAGAAATAAAAAAGTATTCATAGAAAAGAAAAGACACAAACTTATAGAAAACTCTTCAACAATGTTGTTTATCATGCTATATTTGGGCGCAAATTGTCTAGTATCTTTGCTTCCTTTAGTCATATCTCCGTCTTTATAAACTGGGAAGGTCTTTTGTAAACACCATGGATAACAGTCTAAGCTACTTGCTAGTGAGGGGATGAGGGGTAAGGGATAAGGGATAAGCTTCATCTTTGAGGTATAAATAGTCTAAGTTACTTGCTAGGGCTACTAATGATAAAATGAGCTAGGGTGCAGTTGAGAGGAGGTTTGCCTTAAACATATGGTTAGAAGGGTCGAATATTGTTGAAAAATACCAAAAAGAATCTTTTATTCAAATATTCATGTGCTACCTAAAGGCTCCTATAGTATGAAAGAGTGAATAGGTTATTTCGTTTTTTGAACCTCTATTGGATGAATATGCTACCTAAATGCTCCTTGGTGTGATAGGGAGACAGGAAATCGAGCCCAATCTGCATTAATGTAAACTTCTAGAGATTGGTTTTAGTCGTGTTGAACGTGAGGCCATTTCAAGGATCGTGCTTGACATATCTCAATATCTTATACACAACTTCCATATGTTTCTCATAGGGTTTGTTCAGAAATTAACTTGCTACACTAGCAACAAAGCTAATGTTTGATTAGTGACGAACATAGTGTGACTAGATTGATACTGGATCTTGTTTCAGCATATTTATAAAATTTTCAAACCAAGCCTGAGTTAACTGCTTTAGACGATAGACGTCCTAGAGTTTACATACCTTCCACTAGTATATTTGTCCTCAAATCCAAGAGGTATGTCCATGTATACCTCTTATCAAGTAGAAATAATGACAACCAAGATTTGCTGCAACAGATAGATGTACACGAATCATGTTTAACGTGGCAACTGGACCAAATGTTTCATGGCTAAAGGATTCACCTAGGCTGGGTGAATCCTTTTTCCATGAGGCGAGCTTTAAACTGTTCTATACTGACATTCGGTTTGTGTTTCATCGAAAAATTTTATTTACGTCCAACCATACACCTGGGGGAAAATTTGTAAGGATCCACGTCCCATTTTTCTCAAGAAACTACAACTTCTCTAGTATGGTTGTTTTTCATTTAGGTTTTTTGAAGGCTTTCTAAATGGTGTTGGGAGTTTGTATCGGTTTTGGTGAAGTCACAAATGCTTTAGAAATTAGTGACAGATTAGTGTGGTCTTTGATTGAGCGTTCTACTGTGCTCTTCTTCGTGTGCATGCTCGATTGTTTTCCTTGTGTGTGATACTGATTACATCTCAGTTAAAATGGAATGTCGGGTTTTATGACGTGCTATTGGATTAATTATTTTGTCAGATTGGTTTATATATCCTCGGATCTTCTCTTCCCATCATGACAGGGTTGTATCATATATCTTGCTAGACCTTTTACAATGATCACAAGTTGGTGTTCTACACTGGCACTGCAGATAATTTTTCCTTGAAGTTCTCCTGCAAGCTTCTTTTGATTTTGATACCCTCACTTTCGAGCAAACACCATTAAAATTAACTTATTTTCATCCTGCCTGTATTTAGGAGAAAATCCTTAAAGAGTTATGAGTGGAAGTGGCCGAAAACACTCGTCAAAGTGGGATTTGAGAGAAGATTCCCACTTCGAAGCTGATAGTGTACAAGACCATAGTTGGCCTGGAAAAGAATCACGACCTGGTTGGATTTCTGCTGAAATAGCGAGTGATGATGGTTCTAAGTGGTCTGGTATGGCAACTACCAATACCGTTTCGAAACCTACGCAAGATTGGGGATTGTTGTCAGAGGAGGAACCTTTACCTGGAACCAGAGCTTCGCTTAAGGAGGATCGCCCTAATAAAGGCTATAATAAAAATATGGACGGCACTGCTGAATGTGATGCTGAAGAAAGCTACGACATGAGAATGTCCCCTGATCTAGATGGACGGAGAAGTCATGGCTCTAACCTGCCTGATAGAAATGATTGGATCGGGTCAGTGAGGTTAGATACACTGGTACTAGCTTCAAGAGCTTATATCAACTTCCTCATCCTTTTGAGCACAATGTTAATTGTTCAAATGTCTCAAATTTTGTGTGGGCATACATGTTCATTCATTTGAACGAGAGTTTCTGGATTTATGTATTTCTATAAGGATTGGTTAGTTCTTTTCCAAGGGATGGGATGATCTATTGCAATTTCATTCTCGATTAAAGTTGCTTGTTTTGATTGTGTTTCAGGGGTAGGAGTAGAAGCCGCAGTTGGAGTAGAAGCCCTCCTCATGGTAATAAGCGGGACTCGGGATTTCACGATAGAAACACAAATAGAACACGTGTTTCTACTCAATTGTGCAGAGATTTTACTTCTGGAAGATGCAGGCGAGGTAGTGGTTGTCAATTTCTTCACCAGGACGATCAAAATCTGGATGATAGCTTGGAAAATAGGAACAGGAAGGGGGCCCGATCCTTTAGATCAACTTCCCATGATTTTAAGGACTATCCCAGGAGTGGAAGATCAGCTGCTTATTGTACTGACTTCGTGAAGGGAAGGTGTCATAGGGGAGCCTCTTGCACGTTTTCTCACGACAGTGCATTTCATGAATTATCACGAGATTCTCCAAATGATATTAGTAGAGACAGGAAAAATGAACGGACTAAAGAAGCGTACTTCTCACGTGGTGAGCGTGAACCTTGCAGTAGCAGTCTTGTTATCTGTAAATATTTTGCTGCTGGATCTTGTCGTAATGGAAAAAATTGCAAGTATTCTCATCATAGCCAGTCACGTGCAAGTCCAGAGAGGAAGTCGAGTACTGATAAATTGGAACACGTCCAATGTTCAGATGGTAGGGAACAGTTGTGGGATGGCTTAAAATCGAGTGAATTGGCTAGTGGTTCGGATTTCACTCAGTTGATTGAGGACAAAAAAGAACAAACTGCTAATGAAGAGCCAAGATATACATGGCCTTCGGATCAAAAATGTGATCATGGTTTGAATAATGAGAGCAAAACTCGGTGGGATCGAGCTGTTGATATCAAGACAGTGCGAAGCAACAAGAATGATGCCATTCCGAGCAAGGCAGAGAATGCTGGTGGTTGCACAGGCAGTTCTGACCCTAGGGGTCACAGAAAGTGGCCAAGTGATGATATGGAGATGTCTCCTGATTGGCACTACCCTGTGCAACCATCCAATCATGTAGTGAAAGGCGATTGCAACGTTATGCAAGATTCTGGCTCTCAAACTTCCACGGCTTTAGCCATTAGCCATGCAACAGTTCAAGAGGGTCTGGCTAAGAATCAAGACATTGCCATAGAGCCCATAGTAGTCGATATTACTCGTTTTCGGAAAAGCCATACTTTAACAAAAGATGATACTATTGCATCAGCATCCAATGATAACATTACAATTGACAGAACGGTTACTTCACATGCTGAAGGCAATCCTTCGGGTAATGTTGTCCTTGGACAAAGAATGGCATATCACAGTGACCATCCCGACGGAACTGTAACGAATCCGAAAATTTCTGATGGAAATTTCAGAGTCAAACTGCAGAAGGAGGATGAAAGCATGCCAGGAATTAATTCTGGAACAACTGTTACTCCGAACATAGTAACGAACGATCAAATTAGGCAAATAACTGACCTTTCAGCTTCTCTTGCACAATATTTTGGAAATGCGCAACCATTGCCTCAATTGTATGCCTCCCTTAATACGCGCAGTGTGTCAGAAGCACCTTCGTTCCCTTATTCAGACGCGCCCATGGGTGCTTTGGGGACATCGATGAAGACAGGTCCTGTTAATGAATCCTCAAAGCAACATGATTCTGCTCTCTGCAATAGCTTACAGCTGAAGAAACTTGAAGTCACTAAAACACCACAGAAGAGCACTACAGAAGTGAAGGGTGAAGTACAGATACCAAATTTGCCTCTATCATCTGGTCCTTGTGGCATCTCTGCTGAAGAAACTCTTCATGGGAAGCCAACGGCTGATGGTGATGCTATCAAAGAAAAGAATGGTGATGGCAATAACGAGAACAAAACTGACCCAGCAACAAATGAGGACTCTCAAAAGATTGATACGACAGAGAATGCAAATGGAAACGATGAGGTCCATGATAAGAAGAAGAGTAAGGATATGAAGGGAATTCGTGCTTTCAAATTTGCACTTGTGGAGTTTGTCAAGGAACTTCTAAAACCTACATGGAAGGAAGGTCATATCAGCAAAGATGTTTATAAAACCATAGTCAAGAAAGTGGTGGACAAAGTCACAGGCTCCTTGCAGGATGGTCATATTCCTCAAACGCAGGAGAAAATTGATCACTATCTTTCGTTTTCGAAATCAAAGCTCACAAAACTTGTTCAGGTAACTACAAATTTCCTTTCAATTGAGTTCTCTTGTGTTGACTTTGCATTTTATAGCATTTATACTTTGCACTGCCGGTATCTCCTCTCAAATTATCCATTTTATGTGTTTAACTTTTTTATACTTGACAGAAACGATTGTTGCATTTGTTTGAATACAATCCTTTTGTTGCACAATGGTAGGTTATGCACATACTCAAGATTCAACTTGTAGCTACGATAACATTTTGACGGGCCATTTTGAGACATTTTCATCAGGCTACAAATGGTAACATTTTGACGTGATTTTAAGCAGATCTGGAAACCTCGTCACAAACTCTTTTTATATAAATAAGAGATTGTACTAAAACAAAAACTAAGAAGAAAAGGACCATGTGGAATTGAATAAATGACCTTACAACGCAAAACCCTAGCACAAAAAACCCTAATTGAGTCATTTTCAAAATCAAACTTGTACATCTACAATCCAAGAACACCATAGAACAAGTTCTCATGAAAAAACGAGGAAGATATGGTCGATCAAGGTTGGGGAAAAACTCAAACCGTAGCTTTGGATTTTTGTTCTTGATTTTCTCCTATAGGTGTTTTTACCTCTCGACCTCTTCAAGGAATGTGTAGATCTCCTCCTCACGAGTCTATGGAGACAAGAATCAACAAAAATCATCCACAATCAAGTAAGTTATTGCCTCTGAAAGTTCACGAGAAACCTAAAAACATACCTTCAACCCCGGTTCACCTCCGTTCATGACCTCTCGTGCGTTTGTCTCCCACGACTTCTGAGCCTCCTCCTTCTAGACTGTAAAACCCAAAGAGACGAACCCAAACGACAACTGGAAAAACTCACAATCTCCTGCTCAAACCTGCTCCAGCGAGCCATGGGAAGAGTAAACACTTCTAAATATTTTGTGGACAATATCTACTTTTGATCTTGATTTAGATTTTGAAATTGCTGGGACTTGTACAAGTTTGGTTTTGATAAAGTTTTTTACTTGTATTTAGCTTATTAGAAGTTGAGCCTTTGAGGATGATGGAGAAAGTTGTATTGATCTTCCATTTTGGAGGAAAGGCTGTGTGCTATGGCAAGTTTGCTTCTTCGCTGTTTTGTGGTTTATATGGCTGGATTGAAATAGAACACAGAAGTAGTGTTCGTTTTGTGGTGCATTAATGCCTCCCTTTGGGCTTTTTATTTCAACATGCTTCAGAACTGTTAATAGCTTTACTTACCTAAAGATGTGGCTCTCTTTTGCCAGTTGTTTGTGTTCTCCACACCTGTTTGGTCTTTTTTGTGTAGCCCTCTCTTTGTACTTTTATATGGCTGGATTGAAATAGAACACAGAAGTAGTGTTCGTTTTGTGGTGCATTAATGCCTCCCTTTGGGCTTTTTATTTCAACATGCTTCAGAACTGTTAATAGCTTTACTTACCAAAAGATGTGGCTCTCTTTTGCCAGTTGTTTGTGTTCTCCACACCTGTTTGGTCTTTTTTGTGTAGCCCTCTCTTTGTACTTTTATATGGCTGGATTGAAATAGAACACAGAAGTAGTGTTCGTTTTGTGGTGCATTAACTTTGTACTTTTATATGGCTGGATTGAAATAGAACACAGAAGTAGTGTTCGTTTTGTGGTGCATTAATGCCTCCCTTTTATATGGCTGGATTGAAATAGAACACAGAAGTAGTGTTCGTTTTGTGGTGCATTAATGCCTCCCTTTGGGCTTTTTATTTCAACATGCTTCAGAACTGTTAATAGCTTTACTTACCTAAAGATGTGGCTCTCTTTTGCCAGTTGTTTGTGTTCTCCACACCTGTTTGGTCTTTTTTGTGTAGCCCTCTCTTTGTACTTTTATATGGCTGGATTGAAATAGAACACAGTTGTTTGTGTTCTCCACAAACAAAAGCTGGCCTTTTCATTGTAAAAACGAAAGTCATGTGTCACAAGTGTATTGGCAAAAGGATACAAGGGCTCTTTAAGACTAGTGAAGGGTATTCATGGGTTGGCTAGGGTTGTTCGGTTTATCATTTTCCAAATCTTTGGAATAATTTATGAAAACTGGTACTTTAGGATCCAATATGCCATTTCTAACCATAACGTGACTAGTAGTAGTTTGATATCATATATTCATAGGGATAGTGATAGAAATGTGTTTCATTAATGCATCGAGTATGTTTATCTGTTTGTCAAGAAAAAAAAAAATCATTCTCAATGTGTTCACAAGGCAACATTATTATTGTTGATTGGTATAGCAAAAATGGCATCCTTCGGCTTTGTTCCAGGACACGCGTGCTGATTGAGAAATTACTGTGAAAAGATCAGGGGCGAAATCAAAGCTTAGCGCTGTGAGATCCTACGTCGGTTGGAGAGGAGAACGAAACATTCTTTATAAGGTGCGGAAACCTCTCCCTAACAGACGCGTTTTAAAACCGTGAGGCAGAGGGTGATACGTAACAAGCTAAAACTGACTATCTGCTAGCCGTGGGCTTGAGCTGTTACAAGCACTATGTGATGTCCACGAATCGCTTGCCTAACAGAAGTCCCACAAGCAGGAGGAGATTCATTGAGATGTTTGAGCTCACCTAGACCTGAACCTTACTCAGTGAAATAGGATATACTGAGGCACTTGAGTGACTGGAATTTTATACACCTTATATCAGCTGATGTTATATCTGAAGTGCAGTGTAATATCAATTAGAGGGTCATGCAGAACTTGACCGGAACAAATGGAACTTGTCCAGTCTTGCTAATAAGAAGAAAAAAAAACTTGAATATGGTGAACTACACATCTTGTGTAATGATTTAGCCGTTCGGCTCATGACTGTTGGGGGCATTACTGTGTACCCCGGATGCTTGTAAATATACACCCCTTGTAACCTTTCTGGTATCGTTTAAATTGACTCAGTCGCAGTATCTCGGATGCGCCAGGACCTTGAAGATGGCAACCAAACACTACTTCCACGGCTGACCTGCACACACACTTTTATATGGTCCTTGTTCTTTTATTTGGATTCATTCTAGCTCAGTCTAAAGTATTTGGTCCTCTCTCTCAAATGTTCTGCTGTGACAAATAGTTTACTCTGTTCTGTTCTGTATAATATGTTTTCTCAACTGCTCTCGTTTTCTTGTCAGGCGTACGTGGACAGAGTTCAGAAGACGACCTGAGAAGGCGAGGTTGTCGAAGAACCGTACAATGGACAGAGTTCAGAAGACGAACTGAGAAGGCGAGGTTATCGAATTAAATTCTCGCGTTTTTCATTTTTAAGAATCATCACCATGTATTAATTTGTTAGAATGCTGCTGAATGAAATTTGTCATGTGTTACTAGTGTAGTGTATCTCCCATTAGCAGCCTTTGGAAATTTGTTGGTCTTCTATTTTGTGCATTCTTCCATCTTTTATTGTTGAATCAATGGCTATCACTTTTCAATAGCCAAAGGGCTTGCATTCTTTTCCTTCCTTTTAGGTAACTTTAAACTTGTTCGATTCCTTTTCGTACCAAATTCCAAACTAAAGGACCGAAAATTCATGGGCTAAATAGACAATAGACTTCTTTGAAGCTCAAAATACTCGATAGATATCAAACTCAAACTTGAACGTTCAAAAGTGATCGATAGATGGGGTCAAAACTACACCGTCAAAGGGAAGAAAACGGGTAATTAAAGGGCCAACAAGTTAAGGAACAGCTTTTGCAGAAATAGCAAAGATGTGAAGGGGAAGTATTAGTCATAGTCCAGATTATGAGGAGGGGCAATGTCTGGAAATTGGACTTCTTTTGAATGAATGAATGAATGAAATGAAATGAAAATGCATGGTTTTCTGATCCAAACCAAACCAATCCTTCTCGTAAAATGTTTCTCTTCTCCCCATGGAATCACCCCATAAAAGCTATGCCCTTCCCTTTTCCTTTTTTTTTGGTCTGTTGCCTTAAATTTCTCAGTCAAAAAGCACCGGTTAATAATGTGTCGGAAATAGTCGGTATAGCTCTCTTGGTAGTGCAAATGACTAAAAATCTTCGTGTTACCGATTCAAGTTTCTCCAAACATATAAACAAATTGACCAATATGAACATAACTCAACTGACATAAAGTATGTTAACTTGAGAAACATTGGGCGACACATTGCATGTTCATCTATCGAACTTTAGTTATGGCCGTATGAATAAACCAAAAAGCTACACCCGTGTTAGGTTTATTGTTAACATTTTTGTGTTCTAACAGAGATTGGGAGCAGGCTGTGTACCAAGCAAACTAAATTAGCATACCCCTTTATGGCCTCCATTTATGTGCCTCCAACCCTTGATGGTCCTTACTCTAACCCCTTATATCTTGCTGCCTTCTACAACACAACCACATGCTTGGGAGCAACCATAAATGGCCTGCTTCTCTTTTCAATCTCCTACTTCAATACCTACTCTTTCTCACCCGGGGAAGATAGTATAAACGGTACCGATCTAACGTTTGGTTTAGTTGCAGCTATACCGTTAACTCCATCGATGATCGATGATCGTTTGTTGCTTTAAACGCATGGAATATGTGGATGGAGAAAGTTTATGATGCATTTGACAAAGACCAAATTGATTCGATGTTGAAATTTTTTATATTTGTAAGTCTTTTTTTTTTATGTAATGATTCTAAGAGCAAAAGATTGAATTGTCTGCATTTTAGATGATAATTATTTGCTGAGTTATACTCAAATTGGAGATTGTAGTTTTCTTAACTTCGCCCAATGTTTGACTAAATCCTCTACGTCAGCTCTTTTATCGGGATATTATTTCCTAGGTTTGTAAAATTTGAATGGATGGCAAAGCATAGGTGGCAAGCGATTATATGGATACGAAGCTTTACTCGTAGACGTTTCTCTATCTCTCGTAAGAATTGTATGGGAGTCATCCTCGAAGGGATTTCTTGAATGACAGTACCAACGATCCCTCTCTCGTTGCTATTCACGAATCACCCATCCCTTCCTTTTCCTTCATCCGTCCAAGTGAAATCCGATGAGATTAGATATCTCGAACGAAATTCAATAATAGGAAGAGAAAACAACTCACAGGAGATCTCTATTTATTACCACCTTCGTAGCGTCATACCCCAACTTGTTGTCATTAAGAAACGTTATCATGCCTTACATATATATAACATAACACAAACATTGATTAGTTGTGTTTATTAATAACCCAATATCGTAACCAATATGAACATAGCTCAACAATAATAAATACGTGATCTTTTCTTTCCTTGAGTTATTTGGTTAAAATCTGCGTAACCCATATTTATATGATTTAAGAGGCGAAACACAAACCCTAATCTATGTTGCGAAAATAGTCGAAGCATATGAAACACGTAGAGTGTTGGAAGCTAATGAAGAATTCATGTCATTACAAAAAGTAAAACCCATACAGATTTAATTGTTAGTGAATATGAAAATATAAAACCCTAGCTATGCCTAAAAATGGGGATTCTCATTCTATAAACCCTAAAATGATTGCATTAGGGCATGCGCAAACTTGTACGTGTAAAAAAAAATGAAGGTACCCATCAAACTTCCCTACGGACACACAAAAGAATGATGTAAGAAAACATGCCCCCACGGAGGCTGATCAAATTCGACTTCAATTTCTTGCCTTCATTTTTTTGGGACCATAAAAAATCTCGAAGTCTGTTGCCAACCCTCAAGGACATTTTTGTAATTTAACTCTCGTACATCGAACAATACAGGCGTAGCATCACTAGTAGTTGCTCTTACTATTCTCGAAAGAAAGCTTATAATCTTTATCACAACAAGGTTGATTAGCTAATGAATCACTATTAGGATTTTGAGTCTAAGATTCCCTATTCAAGGGCATTTTTGTAATTTATCTCTCGTACATCGAACAATACAGGCGTAGCATCACTAGTAGTTGCTCTTACTATTCTCGAAAGAAAGCTTATAATCTTTATCACAACCAAGGTTGATTAGCTAATGAATCACTATTAGGATTTTGAGTCTAAGATTCCCTATTCAAGGGCATTTTTGTAATTTATCGCTCGTACATCGAACAGTGCAAGTGTAGCATCGCTAGCTGCGATTAAGTAACTAGTTGCTCTTATATTCTCAAAAGCTTATAGTTTTTATCATAACGAAGGTCGATTAGCCGATGAATAACTACTCGGATTTTTAGTCTAAGATGCCATATTCAAGGGCATTTTTGTCATTTATCTCTCGTACATCAAACAATACATGTGTGGCATTGCTAGCTGCAATTCAGTAAATAGTCGCTCTTACTATTCTCGAAAGAAAGCTTATAATCATTATCATAATGAAGGTTCGTTCGATTAGGTTGGTTAAGATGTCGAGCGTAAAAAAAGGAGATCGCAAACGGGGTAGCCGAAGATGAAAAGAATAAGGGTAACCCATTTGTAAGGCCTTTGATTGATTAGTAGGGGCAATTCCTTGGAGGGAAAGTGTTCCAAAAACAGGATGAAAATAATGTTAACCCTAGCTCACTCCTTTTTCCTCTTTGCCCATCCAAACTCTCTCTAAAAACCCTTATTCTTCATCATCAACCTTTTATAGAACCAATACAATAGTCTTCTAGTTTCTTACATAACTCCCTCCAACCCCCATACCCTACCTTTTCTTTCCACCCCATCACCCTCCTCCATGGAGCCCCATCACCTCTCAAAGCCCTCTCCCCATCTCCATCACTCCGCCATGGAAGACCATCATATCCTTCACCGTCATCACCACGCCCACGTCCACGACCCTGACCCTGACCCTGACCCTGATTCCATTTGGTCGTCGTTGTTGCCTTTTCATCTCTCCGACCCTCATCAACAATTCCCTAGCTCCTCAACCCACCTGTTGATCAGCTACGGTATGTTCAATACTCCTGCTTTGATATCATGTTAAATCATCAATGATAGTATGTTTAATTCTTTTTTTGTAATGTTTATAGCTACTCCGAGTTCTAGGATAGATACTGACGAAGAGCCAGAAGAAGAGCTTGGTGCCATGAAAGAGATGATGTATAAGATGGCCGCGATGCAACCGGTGGATATCGACCCTTCGACTATCCGAAAGCCCAAGCGACGAAATGTACGGATTAGCGATGACCCACAAAGCATTGCAGCTCGTCTTCGACGAGAGAGAATCAGTGAGAAGATTAGAATTCTTCAAAGGCTTGTGCCTGGAGGGACGAAGATGGACACAGCTTCAATGTTGGATGAAGCAATTCGCTATGTCAAGTTCTTAAAGAGGCAAATCCGGTTGCTGCAGTCAAGTGATCAGCCACAACAGCCAAGCACTGACGGCGGAGCCGCCGCTGGAGGGTGGCCTCTTACATTCCATAAGGCTGATGGCTCAGCCTCCTCGTCCACGTCCATGGAGACTACGCCTGCCATTATTACACCATCAGGATGGTGAGATAATTAATATTTACTTAATTAATTACATAATTAATTAGAGTGATGTTTAAATTAATATGTTAGTAATTGTACCTTCAAAATATACTAAGCATAATTAATTAAGCAAATGTCATCCATTTTTTTTATTTGGTGATAATTTAATCCCATCCTTACCAACAAAAAAAAATAACGATTGAATTGAGGTTGGATCATTTTATATTTAAAATAAAGTTTTAATCGAAAATATTTTATTTATTATTATAATAAATAAAAACGTGGGAATCGTTAATATTTTGGGATTAAATAAAGATAAGCAAGGAAATAAACATACCTTAAAAGAATACCTTAATGAAATAAATGAAATGAGTATTTATATTTTTATGTTTCTTAATAAACCACGGAATCTCCGGAGTTTTTTTTAAAAAATACATAAAATAATAAAAAAAAGAGACTAATAATTATGGGACTTTGATCAGTCATATGAGTTTGATATCTGATTAATTCTTTTAATTAAGGTGGATAGGTGTTAAGGTTAAAACACAATCTTATCCAATCGGACAATACGAGCCTACAAAGCTCTTGCGAAGATCTCTAGTGAATCAGTGTCTACTATAGAACAGATAGACAAACAACTATGTATCTATTTGGGACCTCTTTAAAGAGAGCGCGTGAAGAATGATTCACATTTTCGTCCGCTATTTAAGTGTTAATTCAAGAAGAAAATTTAATGATTTTTTAAAAGTGTAATTTATTTTATTTATGAAAAAAAATGAAAATTTAATGTTCACTTATGAGTTGGTGATTACTTCGAAGTAAGGCATTCCAAAAAGGCGCCAATTTGGGCGCGATCTTAACACATTTGGACACCTCATTCAAAAGGGCGCCAAATTCCAGAAGCAGCAAATTCCTCTTTCCTTCTCCACTTGAACCCTAAATTTTCTCCTGCGATTACTCACTTCCCTGTCCAAAATTGGGACTAGGAACAAGAAATGAAGGGTGGGACGCTTCAGATCAACTGGCACGACTCAAAGCCAGTGCTCACCCTAGACTTCCATCCACNTTCAGGTCTCCTCGCAACCGGCGGAGCGGATTTCGATATCAAGGTCTACATTCAATTGCCCTCTTCGCTTCTGATTCTTTTTTTTTTTTTTTTTTTTTTTTTTTTTTTTTTTTTTTTTTTTTTTTTTTTTTTTTTTTTTTTTTTTTTTTTTTTTTTTTTTTTTTTTTTTTTTTTTTTTTTTTTTTTTTTTTTTTTTTTTTTTTTTTTTTTTTTTTTTTTTTTTTTTTTTTTTATGAAATTCGGCTAGCCAACTTCAATTTTTAATTTCTGTTTTCCAATATTGGCTATTAAGGGATATGTTCTGAGTATTTAGATTTGACTGGTTGGTTGGATGTATGGCAATGGGCTAACTGATACCTTTGATTCTATCAGATTTGGTTATTAAATTCAGGGGATGGACAAAAAAATGTCCCTGGTGCTACGTATCAAAATAGCCTTTCTTACCATGGTTCGGCTGTTAATAGCCTGCGCTTCTCACCTTCAGGTATGTAGAATGTATCTGCGTCCCTCAACATTATGTTTAGTGTTATGAAGCTAGTTCGTTTCGTGGAATATTAGTTAAATATTAGTACTTTGTTCGGTAGATTTCATTAACTGTATCAAGATCAAGCTTTAATTTTATCGAAATCTTATGGTTTGCAATTTTGATTACATCAGTGCTACAAAAAGTAATGTCCCTTCTGTAAATCATTAGCTCAATATGCGAGTTATTTTGAGTCTTTTAACGTATAACCATTTGGCTGAGTAAAGATTCCAGGACCTCAGTGTTTCAAAATGCCATTTCCCCTTTTGTAAACCGTCAACCTAATATGTATTGTACATCAAGTCTTTGAATACATTGAAACGATCATCTATACACCAACGATCTTGATGCAGCTAGAACAATCCACTAAATTAAAATTTATTTGTAATACTGACATCTACCTTTCTCCATTCAAGGGAGAATGAGCACTTTGGGAAGGAAGGTTACTTCCTTACCTGCACATGGGGTGGGGTGTGTGGATTTAGTTTGGTATTTTACATTAAAAAAATTTGGGTCAATTTGGTGCTTTTTCAAAAAGGCTTTTGAGCACTAGAGTTGGAGAAGTGTAAACTAATATATTTTGTGGTACCTTTGAGCATCTCTTCTAATTTTTTATTTGCTTGTTTGCTTTCTTACTTCAGATTTAGAAGTTAATGTCCATTGTCTTTTGCAGGAGAACTGCTTGCCTCTGGTGCTGATGGTAGAACTTCCGCCTATTACAGATGGTGTTTTCAGTACATATTTGAGCCAGTTGCTAAATCCCAGTAGATTTTTTCTTATATATTAGTTTTCATTTCTCACAGGAGGTGAACTGATCATATGGAAATTGCACCATTTGGAAAGTGGCCAAACTTGGAAGGTCCTGAAGACATTATCGTATGGCCATTTATCGCCCTCCCTATTTTAATGTGTTAAGAAGCCATGAAGTTCAAAAAATTGATATGAAAACACCCAGTATTGCATATTTAACTTCCATGACCTAGTGTCAATAAGCACTGATGTAAATGGTGAAAAATTAGTTCAAGTCACGGTGACCACCTACCTAGGAGTTAATATGCTATCGGTTTACTTGGCTGCGAAATATAGTAGGGTTAGGCCGTTGTTCTAGGAGAATAGTTAGATTTGGGCAGGCTAGTCCAAACGCTCATGAACTAAAAGGAAAAAAGATATAAACCACACCCGATAGAGCAAATTTAAGTTGTAATTGCAGGAATATTTCCTAGTCATTGTTCTCTTGCAGAATTTCCACTAATATCAGTATTATCTATATTGGCTAGATTTCACCGCAAAGATGTGCTGGACCTACAGTGGTCTAGTGATGGTGCATATTTGATGTCTGGATCCGTAGATAATTCCTGCATTATATGGGATGTAAGCAAAGGTTGAACAAAAGACACTCGCAAGGGAAAAAGAGAAAAAGAAAAAGATAAATCCATTACTAGAATTAAGCTTATTTGTTTTATTAACCATTTAGCTCTGGTTGTTCTTCTCCATGTTCTTCAGGATCTGTCCATCAGATTTTAGATGCCCATTTGCACTATGTTCAAGGTGTGGCATTGGACCCACTGGGAAAGTATGCTGCTTCTCTGAGTTCAGATAGAAGTTGCAGAATCTATGCCTATAAACCCCCAACCAAAGTAAAAAGCAGTGAGAAAATGAATTATGTTTGTCAGCATGTCGTTACTAAGGCAGAAAATATTTCAGTTGATGATTCTAAGGTAGAAGATGTCAAGAGTATTGTAGTTCAAGCATTTAGTATGTTGATGTTTCCTCTATTGATTGTCATTTATGCTCCAACACTGCAGTCTGTCAGAAACCACCTCTTTCATGATGAGACATTGCCATCTTTCTTCCGAAGGTTGGCCTGGTCACCTGATGGATCTTTTCTACTTGTGCCTGCAGGTAACGGTTGGGGTAGATGTCGATTGCTATTTACCACCTATCCACGGTGCTTAGGAAAATTTTCATTCTGACTTGATGAACCTTTCTTAATTGTTTGGGGCAGTTTTGGTGCATTTATCATACTATATTTCTTTATTAACTTGATTAATACTTATATTGCATGTAGTGGATCGCATCCATTCATACTAGAGATGCAGTTAGGTTTCCCATCAGGAATGTGGTTTTCGTGTGGTTTCCATTCTTCATCGTGGTTTTCGTGTTACCTATTCCATTCAGTATTTCTCATGTGCACGCATAATTAAGTCTTCATTCATATTTTTTTCTTTGATTGTTGATTTGCTGCCCACTTTTCAGGTGTTTGTAAAATATCGCCGGCATCTGAACCAGTAAATACAGCGTATATATTTTCTAGAAAGGATCTCTCAAGGCAAGACTTAATTCTTTGTTATTACTAGTTTGATAGTAATGGTAATCATGATGAAGCAATAATGATAGTGATATCCAGCATCTTTATTGTCACTGGTAGTTCAACTTTTGCTGCACCCGTGCCAAATTACATTATAGTGAGTGATATCTTGGAAAGATTTAAAAACTAGAATGATCCTTTTTTAATTTATATCATCTTTCCGATCAGGCCTGCTATTCAACTCCCTGGTGCCAGCAAGCCGGTTGTAGCAGTTTGCTTTTGTCCAAAGCTTTTTAGTCTTAGAGGATTAAATTCAGGTGCTCAGATGATTTTTACCATGTTTTATGCATTACTTGATTAATTTTCAAGAGAAGTTTTATTGGTTTGGAAAATGACCGACTTCAATTTTTGTATTATGAATTCTGCAGCTGGGTTATTTAAGCTTCCACATCGGATCATCTTTGCATTAGCAACTTTAAATTCTTTGTACATATATGACACTGAAAGTGTTGTGCCGCTAGTCATTATGGCTGGTCTTCACTATGCTGCCATAACAGATGTCGCGTGGTAAATTTTCTTCTCCTATCTCGTGACTACTCCCTTTGGAAGATTCTCATTTTCTCAATTCTGAGTTTATTGTTCTTAAAAGGTCGGCAGATGCTCATTATTTAGCACTATCTTCTCAAGATGGTTACTGCACTTTGGTGGAATTTGAAAACGATGAACTGGGGTCACCACTTTCTCTATTAGGTCACTATTTACTTCTCGAAATAATAGTTTTCTTTGGTTAATTTGTTTCTCATAGTTTGCCTTCAATCGATGTAGAAGATAAAATAGGCACGTCAACCAATCAGAATACGAGTTTAACAGGCGTGGTGACTGTAAACGACGATCAAAATAGGAAAACAGAAGTAGAAGAGAGACATGAAGAAAACAAAAGCGTTGAAAAACCAGAAAATAAAAGCGTTGAAAAACCAGAAAACATGGTGATTGAAAAACCTTCGAGTGGAGAAAATCTTGCAGAATCAGAGTGCAGAGGACATGAAATGGAAAAGAAGAAAAGTAAACAGGTATCTATAAGCTCTTCAAGCAACTCTGTTACCAGCAAGCCAGCCAAAAGGCGCATTACACCCATGGCTATTGATCCATGAGAGAGGTACGCTATGCTATCAACTGTATATTCTCTTCATCCCTACAGATTATGCTGAGTTATTACAAGCATTTTGTTGGCGGTGCTTGATCAAATGTGGATCACTGATGTAGCTGAAATGATATTTTTTTACAATGATTTGTGTATCATCTTTGATCTCATGTTCCCTGGTGATTAAGATTCTAATGATACTTAGCTCGGTAAGCTCTTCTTGGGAAGAGTTCTACGATATCGATATTCAGTTTTCGCTTCTCTTTGTTCTGTGCTTTTATCCCAACAAACTAACACGAAGAATAACATGTTTTCAATTTCATGCTTCTAAGGGGGTCACCAGCCTGAAATCGTTCCACAAGTTTTGTATTTGTAGATTTTCTATTGGAAGGACTCTTGAATGGAAGGCCTGATTTGGTAATTAGTAGTATTTATCAATTATTTATAGGATTTTAAAACAAAATTGGGAGAGATCTTAGGTATTGATATATATTTTTTAAAAAATTTTCTTGCACATGTGAATGTTGTATTGGTAATGATAAACTTCCTGTATATACTTTATGATATAGATTCACCTCGAGATTGAGATAGATCAAGTTTCCATCTATCTAGGGTAGGAATATAACACAATGAAATTAAGATCGAGACAATGTAATTTATTGTCTCGATCTTATATCATTAAAGCTAATATAATTTGTCAAAGTGAGCATAAGTTGTGTACCTTTTCTGAGTCGGAGTTGTCGGAGTAAATAGGGTTTAATCCAAAAAGGTTTGTCCTTGAAAGAGGCATTCATACATGGAGTAAACTATTAGATATGGAAGCCAATTAAGTATCAAATATGTACCCTAAAAATAATGGAAGGATCATTTTCAAAATCAATTTTCTAATTTTTACTTTAGCTTTAAATCTTATTACAAGATTTCCTTCTAATATTATATTCATGGAATCTCACACATTAATATTAAACTTACCTATAAACGAATATTTTTTAATACGTTAACAAATAGAAGTTTGTTATCGACACATGCAATAGAAATTTGTATATATGACTTTATCGAAAGATCAAACCATTCACATTTGAAATGCAATGACCTATGTTTAAATTGGATAAAATATGGACCTATAAACCACTTAAAGAATATATATTTGATCCAGACATATGAACTCGAACTCGAATTTTTTGAGCTAGAAAAAACACAAATATGAATCCAGAAAAAGTAGGTTAATTCATGAGACAAGAGTCATTAAATTCCTTTTAAGAACATAATATGAAAAAAAGATCAAATTTATTACAAAAAATAAAAAGCAAAAGTAAAAACAAAATTATGATTTAGATGAAGAGAGACAACAATGATTACCAGCCAAGAAGATCCAGAATCCCCAAAACCACTCTGCAAATACGCTTCAGCCCTTCTTCCCTCCGACGAAGCGTCGCCGGATAAGCCACCGTCGGGAACACTTTGAAGCCATTCCGGCAAACATTGGCATAATCTGCCGCCGCAGCCACATGCATATACGCATAATCATAAGTCTCATCGGCCAAGTCTTTGAGAGAAGCCCGAAGCGCTTCAGCTGCAAATGCGTACTTTTCGGAGCATTGTCGGATGAGTTTTGTTCTGTTCTTGTTGTTGTTGTTGTTGTGGTTGTTGGCTCCGGAGGTGGGGAGCTGAGATGAGAGGTAGGTGGAAGTGGCGGTGGCATTGGCGGCGCCGATGGAGACCATAATGGCGGCGAGGCCCTTGGTGTCGGCGGTGAGGCTGGTGGGGTCTGATTTCAGGGAGGACATGCAGAGGGCGTAGTAAAGAGTGCTTCTGCACGTCTTTTGGATTAGGGTTTGGTCGGCGGCTACAAACGTTGTTGGGGTTACGAGGAAGAGGAACAACATCACCAAATTCTTCATACCCATTTCAGATTTCCCTTCAAAATTTCTTCTTTTTTTCCCCTTTTTTCCTTAATGGAAGAGAGACAGAGAGAGCTATGAAGCAGAGGATCTCTCTGTTTAATGGTTCTAAGATATAAACAATTTTTTGTCTATTCTACGGCCTATAATATCGGTTAGTGATGGACTTGGACTATTACCAATAGTGTCAGAGTTAGACGTTGGCGTATCAATGAGGACGTTGGACCTCTTAAGTAGGTGGATTGTGAGATTCCACATCGGTTGAAGAGGCATAGAAACTTCTCTCCATAACACCCATGTTTTAAAATCGTAAAACTAATGAATGCACATAATCGGGAGAGGATAATGAATAAGGCACTCACTCAAAGCAACTTTTTATTTATCTTTTTTTTTTCTTTTTCTTTTGAGTGATGGAGAGGGATGTAGAGAGGACAATGAAAAGATAGCACTTTGTGGGGGCGAAAACAATGTATTTTTTTGCGTTTTGATTCGAAATACTCGATACAATCGCTACAATATGGGTACTAAACTTATACGATTGGATATACAAAAGAAAATCCGTAAAAATAGATTGAATATGGACATTATTAATTAGAACTCTAAACAAACCCTTTTTCCTTTTTTCTTTTTTGTAAATAATTAGAGAGAGAAGCATTAGTAATGTGAAGAATTATGAAGGAAGGAAGAATAAGAACACTTTACAAAAAGCAAGAAGAAAAAGATAAAAGAAAAAATGATTCCATTTTAATTAATAATAACACTGTTTGACCCTCCACAAAATATAATATATATTAATAATAAATACATACACACACACACAGTCACGGGCCAAAGCCGACGGCATAAACCACCGCCACTCAACAAACACAAAATGCCATTCTTTTCAAGGTTTTTTGCTATCATTGTTTCCTTTTATTATTATTATTTTGTCTGTTTTTCACTCATTTCTGCTATCCATCCTCTTTGTTTCACTCTATGATGCTAAAATCTGGATTTTGATTGTCTTTTAAGCTTATGCTTTTTGAAATCTTACGTCTAAAGAGAAAAACGAATCATTTTGTACCAGGGTGTGAAAACTTTTTCCAAATAGACACGTTTTAAAATTGTGAGGCTGACAATCATACGTAACGGGTCAAAACAGACAATATTTACTAGTAGTGAGCTTAAGTTGTTTGAACATGGAAAAACAGAAGAAGAAAACGGTGAAAACAGAATCCCTTATCCAATGGGAAGAACAGTAGTGGCCAATATTTTTACAATAAGATTACACGATGTATTAGATCTCGAGCTTAGAGATTAAATAAATAATAAAAGTATTGGTAGGTAGTTCATAATAAAATCTTAAGAATGTTAATTTAAAAGGGAAATAATTTAATCAAAAGCATTTTGATTATAATGTGTTGGGTTCCTGCTGTCATACACAAAATATCCAAAAAGTTGGACTCCTTTTCACACATTATATTCAACCATTCAATACTTTAATTCACTCCCCCTTCATTTATGAGTTATTTATTGAGATTGAGTATGCCATTAAAGGGTAGTTATATATGAGAGGATCGTGTTTAAATAATAATATAAATAATGTATACCCAAAATACTAAATCTCACATAGTAGGTGAAAACATATTTGTTTCACAGTATAAAAAGATATGTAATTCAATCTTAATCCTAAATGAGCTATGGACTCGTGTACGAGAAGAGCTTGTCATTTGATTTTCTTGTGGTGAAAATGACATTTTTACGATCAATTTAATAACCCAACATTTAGAAGACTTGACCAAATAAATAGTTGAGAATATAAGTTTCACTTTTTCTCATACAAAGAGAACAGAGGAGCAATTCCTTTAAGTACTCATTCCCAAACTTGAACAATAGGGTCTGACCATGTGGTTAGTCCAAGATGAACTTGATTTATGGTTGAATCATAAATAAACTATTCATTAAAGAATACGTAGCCTGTTTGTGATATTTCTTTTTGTCCGTATATATTAACACAATATTTAAGTCTAGGTTACGTATTATTCGGAAAATTATTTTTTTTTTCATTATTTTTCAGCTTTTATTGATTAGTGTAGGTGAAAATAAAAGAAAAAGGCTACAATGGGCCAGCTACTGGGTATGAATTAAATAAATCTGTTTTAAATTCAAAATTAAAATAATCTAATACCCATAATTTTTCTTCCTAATTTTTTTTATAAAAAAATAGAATATAGAAAGGATACTTAATACATTTTCAATTTACTAAACTATTTTTTTTTTTTGGTTTAATTCTGAAAATTATAAATTATTTTTGGGGGTTTTTTGTTGAAAAAAAATTATGTATCGTTGAGTATTATTTTGTGAGTTTAAAATATTAATTTTATAAATAATGATAACAAGGTTAGTTAGTATTGAATACGTATGTGGAAACTAAAAAAAAAAAAAAAAAAAACTTATTAAAATTCAAATAATTTATTTGATATTAATTAAATAAATCTATATTAACACAAAGTAGAAATAATTAAATAAGCTAACCAACACCCTAGTTTTTATAGCTAAAGACTTTTTTTTTGGACAATATTAAATTTTTATTTATTGAAATCTAGCTAAATAAAACATATTAACTTAATTGATTTTTATTTTTTTATAAATGGTATATTAATTAATTATCAAATTTCTCCAAAAAGAATTAATTAAAACTATTGACAAATTAACTAAAACTAAAATAGGTTAAACCTATTCAATTAAATATATTGGGTAGTAATAATTTTTTTTAGTAATTATGGTTGGTTATTTGATTACATCATCCTTAAATTATTTAGATCCATTAATTAACACTTATTGGTTGATTAGTTCATTGGATTTTATTTTATAAGTATATATACTTAAATTTATTAATTCCATAAAACAAACTCGTAAATCCACATTCTCGCTTAATACCAAATACAGATATATCACTTTTTATTAGTAAAAAAAAAAAATGCTATTAATCTCTAAACTCTTATAAAAGTACGTAACAATTTAGTTTTTTATTTTTAGTTTGTATAAGAAGAAAAATTATTGTGGTTTTTTTTTTTTTTTTTTTCAAAATAAGAAGATAAAAGTAGAAGGAAAAAAAATGAAAAATCAATCAAATTTAATTTTTTAAAAATGGCTTCTCCCTGTTTGATTATTGGAGTCTAATTAAATTCATTCCACAGCCAAACGGGTGAAAATGTATAAATCCACAGAAAATTCAAACTTTATCCCACCGTTTGAATGCCTTGTGTTTCATAATTTTATTATTTTCTTCTAAACCTAAAGCTTTGGAGTTGAAGCTGGAGAAACCCATGTCGAAAAAAGCTCTCAACCTCGCCGGAGAAGATGCAGAAAGTGCTAGCACTGAACGTAATGTAGCCAGAAGTTCCGGAGGTTGGGGGCGGTGGAGGTCATTTCAGACGATGGAAAAGGACGGCGCTCTGTTTCTCGGCACGGCGGAGGAAAGGCTGGTTTGGCTGCGATGTCAGATTATAGGTAGAGATGCAGAGTTTAATTCTCCATTTGGAGAAAGAAGAGTCTGTTATGCTGATCATACAGCTTCTGGTCGTTCTCTTAGTTATATCGAAGATTTCATCCTCCAAAACGTTCTACCTTTCTATGGTGATTTCTCAATCTAAAAAACTTCAAAATGGTTTAGATAAATATCTTTCCTCAGTTCACCAAATCTGCAGGCAACACTCACACAAGCAACAGCTACGTCGGGCAGCATACAACAAAGATGGCGAACGATGCGAACGCATACATCAAGAAGTGCTTAGGAGGTGGAGAAGAAGAAGCGCTTGTGTTCTGTGGCCAAGGCGCAACTTCCGCCATTAAAAGACTGCAAGAAGTGATGGGAATTGCAGTGCCATCCATTCTGAGACACAGGGTAATAGGGACCCTAAAGGAAGAAGAAAGGTGGGTTGTTTTTGTTGGACCTTATGAGCATCACTCCAACCTCCTCTCATGGCGGCAGAGCTTGGCGGAAGTGGTAGAAATTGGAATGGATGAAAATGGGGTTTTAGACATTGAGATGCTCAGATCCCAACTTGAGACGTATAAGAAAGCTGGAAAGAGGCTGATTTTGGGTTCTTTCTCAGCTTGTAGTAATGTCACAGGAATTTATTCAGATACAAAAGCTATTGCTACACTGATCCATGAATATGGAGGCCATGTTTGCTTTGATTTTGCTGCAAGGTACCTGAATTTTACCCATTTACTTGAATCAAAAGCATTGACTAAGTGTTTGACTACGATGCAGTGGCCCTTATGTGCAAATAGATATGCAATCAGGGGAAATTGATGGCTATGATGCGATTGTTCTAAGTACTCACAAGTTTCTTGGAGGGCCTGGATCACCTGGAATCCTTCTGATGAACAAAAGTCTCTATAAGTTGAAGTCATCTCCTCCATCAACTTGTGGGGGTGGTACTGTGAACTATGTCAATGGCTTCAGTGAAAAGGTAATGCAAAAAAGCTCACCAGATTTTGGGTTTTGTTCGAGTGGAATCCGTCCAATCGAAACTGAAAGTTCGGTAGATTTCGACGTCTGTTTCTTTGCTCATGGAAGATTTTCTGCAGGACACACTGTATAATGAAGACATAGAAGAGAGGGAAAACGGTGGAACACCACAGATTATAGGAATAATAAGAGCAGCTATGGCTTTTGAGGTAAAGGAATATATCAGCAACCAAGAGATAGAGAAGCAAGAACACCAGTACGTAGAAAGGGCTTTGAAGAGACTTCTCCCAAATAGAAGCATCTGCATTTTAGGGAGCACGTCTTATAAGCGACAAGCCATATTATCTTTTATCATTTACTCTTCGGCTAATTCGTCCCCCAACTGTATCACTAACAGATTATGTAAACCTAACAGCAGAGAAAAGGCTGAAAAGCTTTATATGTGGAAAGAGACAGGGTATATGAGAGCAAAACCTCTTCATGGTTCTTTTGTTGCAGCACTCCTGAGCGATCTGTTCGGCATTCAGGCTCGAGGAGGATGCAGTTGTGCCGGTCCCTATGGTCACAAGCTGCTCAACATTGATGAAAAAT